TTTCTCTGTCCATTTCAGTGCCATCTCTTTCTAAACTTATTCCAACCAGAAAATATCTAATTTATCTTTCCCCCCTCTGCTGACTTCTCCAGTTTCCCTATCAAGAACTACCCTGTAGACAACTGAGTAGGTGAACACATTTGTAGCAATGTTATTCATCTGAAGATGAAAGGGGAGATTACTGTCTTCTAGTTGAAGATGAAGCCTTACTCTAGTAAGATATTCCCCTATTGTAGCTATGACACAAGTAACCACCTGGCACCGTAACCAGCAATAAGCAGATTGGAAATTTATTGTGCTACAGCAAGGGTGGCCAATCTGCAGCACAAGTGCCACAAGTGGCAACCTATGTGTGTGAGGAGGGGGTGGGGGGCACAGTAGCAGATAGGTCAAAGGGCACAAAGCAAAGTAACAGACTGGGGAGAGAACGTATAAAAGGAAGCAGAAAGTAGATCAAGCAGAAGAAGAGGATTGCAATGGCAGGGTGCAGGGCTAATGTGTGCCATGCTTGCCAAAAAAGTTTGGCCTCTACTGTGCTAGAGCATTCCCTGTGTCCAAAATGAGGGATTTCATAAAGCAAAAAAACCCTCAAAAAACCAGCAGAAAGAGTAAAATTAGAAGTCCAAGGAAAACCTATCTGACTTTATAGCAAGGCTTTGTTAAAGTGCCTTGTGGAGTGCTGTGAAGTGGTATTACCTGCTACTGGAACCATTATGACATAGCAGTGTCTCATTTCTATAGCTGGTCATTCTTTCTTCTTCCTTTTGGACATGTTCTGGTACCCCCAGAATCCCAGCTGTCTGTTACTAAACAGGATCTTGCATCAGCAGCAGAAATGTACCATAAAGAAATCATCTTGAATGTCTAAATACTTTGGGTAATTTTTCTTCATTTTCCTGTGTCTTTGGCTAATCTCTGTTGCGGTTGGGGGAGAGCCAACAGTGCAACTGACCACGAGGTCTGCTCGGGGTGGTGTTTTAGGTATAACTCTCAAATATGCAATAGAAAGTTAGAGTTATTTCCTATATAAACTGTCAACTGCACTCTTTTCCTAGTGCAGTTACAAAAAAAGTCTGATGTAAAGAACTGCTTCTGAGGAAAAAAATAAAAAAGCTGTAATGGACTAAAAGAGTTCGCATGTAGGGACAGGTCTTCAGCTGGGACAAATAGGAACACTTCCCTGGAAGTATGATTCATTCAATCAGATTCATGCTTTCGTAACATACATGCATGACTGCAATAAAAAAATTCAATTTAAAAATTGCTTCATGATCTCTATTTTCATACTGGAGATTTTTCTCCTGTATTTGGGTTGCTTGCAGGTATTCTCTTCACTTTGCATTTATGTGACCTGTTGGTAACTAACTGCTGTACAAGAATCAATTGTGTAACACAGAATGTAAATAGAACATGTCTTTTCTTACAACATTCTCCTTTATAATGTTGCAATGTCAACAGTCTAGTAGAGTTTGAGTCTCCATTGCCTTCTCTGTTTCAATAATGGTTACAAGCAGCTATACTGGTATAAAACAAAGTAACAGAGAATCCAGCTCTAAATATTTTCTCCTACCTGTCTTGTAGTCTGGCTGTGCAAAATCCCCATCTCTATACATTTTCCTGTTGCATTGTTTGTTCTATTGCAACCAACAACTTCAATGGACTAAAATACTTAAACTGAGTTTTCTAAATGGTTTTGTGGTTTGGAGAGATTTCTAACTCCTTGAATTCAGAGGATAAATGAAATAGTGCAGGCATCTTCAAAATATCTCCACCTGTCAGCATATGCTTTAGAACTCCCACCCAACAGATTATTTATCATTTTTGCCTCTGTGACTATGCTTCTTCTGGGCTTTATTCAGGAAGGGGTTCCTGATTGGGAAAGATGAGCTATCCTGAAGTAAGTATTTCATTTGACTTAATGGCTATGAGGATTCAAACATATTCCTCTTAAAAAAACTGCCTTGTAGAATAAGACAAGGAAAAGGCAGTGCATTTAGGAAAGGTGTACACTTTAAAATTCCTTTCCTGCCATCTCTGACAGAGGGAACTCTTGGCTGCAATATATTTTCCTTCATGTTTCAGTGTGAACAATCTGGAGCTTTAAAGTTTGCTTTAATACTTCAGTAGCCTGTGCAATGAACCTGGATTGTCTTGTGTAACAGCTGATGCTTTTCAGTTCAAATATTTAAAGAAAAAAAGGAATAGGGCCCATGAGCCACTGGTGCCTCCTTAGTCGGGGGGGCCACGTGCCCCCACAGCGACCAGTCCTGCCAACAAGGGGGGTCCCCCTATGGGCAATCCTGCAGACCTAGAGTGGGGGGTGAGAGATCCTGTGGACTGGGGGGGGGGGGGCCAGGGTTGCAGGGGTGGGGGGGTGGAGTGCTGGGGGGGTGGGGGGGGGGGGGTCCAGTGCGCCAGCCACTACTGAAAGTGGCTAGAGCGATTATAGCAATTGGCCAGCACTTGCAGGGGGGAAACCAGTGCTTCCGCCTGCCCTCCCTGTCCATCATCTAAGCAGTGAGCACAGCTGGTCAGGGGGTGCACAGCTCTCAGGGGGTGCACATGCACACCTGTGTACCCCCTACGCATTGCCACTGATAGGAACATTTGCCCTCCTCCTTCTGTATGTGTTGAAAGCACAAACAACCTTGACTTAGAGAAGCTTCATTGTTTGCATTCATCCATTAAATCTCACAGACTGCTGTTTAAATGTTGTTCAGTATTTCAAGCTATTTAAATGTTGTTCAATTGCAAGCTATTCAGACTTGCAACAGAAGCTCTGAAAATTGGTGGGGAGAAGGAATATTGCTATGTGGGGAAAATGTCCAGGGAAATAAGGGTGGAGGATGTAGGGTAGAAGGAGAGGGAGGTGCAAACTGTTTTATATTTCTAAACTTATTCGTTGCCTAACAAGCAGTCCCAGAACGTGACTGAAGACACAAGTTAACTCTTCTCTCTCACAGGATCTAAGGTAGCGTAAATATCTGTACGGTTCTATTTAGCTTTGATTGAAACCTCTTCTTAATTCATTCCTACATGATAGGGCAGACAACTAGTATGTTTTATGCCATGCAATGAGAAAGAGAGAGAGAGAAAGAGAGAGTTTTATTTCTCAGGAAGTTTATTTAGATTTCAGAGTTCTTAGCAAATAGTGAGCAATAGTTCAGTGAAAGTTTAATGCGCAAGTCCTGGCTTAAATTCCTTCTTCTACCTCTGAGAAGCCTAGCCCATGTTGTCCACCTGCCAGAGGAGAGCCCCAACTCCAAGGAAATGTGTTATTCTGAGGTAGGAAGATGGGTCCATCCTTCCTGTTGAAACATGTTCAATTTCGATGTAATAAATTGCATCATACAGAGTATGAGTGGATGACTACAACCAAATAATCAGAATACTCACGGGGGAAAGGGGATGACATGGGTTCCAGTAAATTTAAGTATTTTATGTTAAACAATTATTGTATACAATTCTTAAATAGCTCCCTGGTCTCTCCTCTTCCAGGTGAGTGCTATAAGCATAGCCTAGAAAACTATGCTCCAGCTTGCTTCCTCTCATTGAATCTATAAAAAAGGAATAGCTTCCACATCTAATGGGACGGAAGGAAGAAATCTCACCTATAGTAGTTTAGTGATTTGAGTGCTCTTCTGGTGGGTGGTAGATGTAAGTTTGAATACTCTCAAGGAGAGGACCCCAACTCTCCAACATCTTGAGGGAAAGATTCAGCTACTAAATATGGGAATTAGTGAATGATGGTAGCACCTCCTGCACCTGAACCACCTTCACCTCCCTACTTTGGGCACAGCCCAATCTGTCACCTGTGCTCCAAGAATACACATAGGATCAGGCTTCCTAGACAATATAGGTGGAGGAGCAACTAATCTGAAGCACCTGCCAGAGCCCAGGTGTCAGTTTGGCTCCTAGCTGCTCAGCACCATAAGAACTGAAGACAGAAGCATAACTTTATGGGTCTGGGGAATTTTTATGACAAAAACTGAGGCACTTGGAGATTTTAGATACTTCCAATAATACATGGCAACTAGCCAGGGACTTAAATATTGTACTTTTTAATTTTAATGTCCATAGTGCAAGTTGAGAAGGATTTAGGACCATTAATCCTTTGGGGATGTAACTCTATTAGGCAGCATTCACACTCACTGCACTGAGTTTTGCTTGGGCAAAGGAAGAGCCTCAGAATTCGGCCCAGGATTTCATTCATAAAACTATAAGATTCAAGAGATGGTATATATGTTGATGGGGGAAAAGTAAAAATGTGGTGAATTCATGTATAACAGAATTATTTTTTAAAATCATGTGGATGTTATTTTAGGAGGTAAAGAGGGCAGAGGGGGAGAAATAACAAGCTAGAGAATTTATTTTCCTACAAACCTAAACCAGGAAGAAAAATAGAACTAAATCATGATGCCTAGAAGCTAGAAGTTCACAAGACAGGAGGTGTTACTTGGTTTAAATAATTAATAAACCCAACTGTTGTTGTTAGGTAACTCACTGTGTCCGTTTGGAGAATAAGCACATATCGTTCATCAAACTGATGGTTCCTTTAGCAGGTATTGAGGTAGCAAGGAAGTTATGAGGACTAAAAAGGGAAAAAACCTAGCCCATTCATGAATAGTCCTCCTCCTCTTCTGCCATCTCAGAATCAGGAGTCAAAGAGAATTATTCCAGGAATCAAAAGGAAATGGTTCCCAGTTAGTCTACTGGAACATCCTTGGGCAACAAAGAAAAAATTAAAAAGAAGAAAAAAGCAAAATCAGCTAGGATAAAACTTAGAGGGGGAAAAAATCTGTTGGTGTGTCTCTTCACAAAAGTTTGTATTTGTTTTATTTCATGTCTGCACAATACTTTGCATATTATATGAATATTTAATACACTACATTGAAGAGGAAGCATGGCACTCCACGGCAGCACCTCAACTGCTCTTTAGAATTAAGGAGTGAAGGGGTAGTGACATCCTGTCTGTCAACAGTTTGTCCTAGGTTATAACAATGGATTTACTCACAATATCCAATGGCAGTTTTGCCCTTGACCTTTTCAAGAAGCTGAATGAATCTTCTAAGGGAGAAAACATTTTCTTTTCCCCTTGGAGCATCTCCACCGGTCTGGCGATGGTCTACCTGGGTGCAAGAGGTAACACTGCAACCGAGATGGCTGAGGTTGGTTCTGAAATTTTACTATCCACGGTACATACATAATAGCTGGTTCTTAAATATGCTACAGCAAGCTGATTGTACGGTGTTAAACAAAATGGTGAATAAAATGCACGTAGACTTTAGGGAATAAATTGACTGCAAATTTAATTTATTTCATAGAGGTTCCCACCTTGTGCCACTAGGAGAAAATATCTTGTAGGTATCATATGCTGTGCATATTTCTTGATACTCTGAGCCAAATTCTGGTTATAGATGGGCCAGATTGTAGGCCAGCTGAAGGCCTCCTGGGAACTGCCAGGTTATTACATTGTTCCCATCTAAACTGAATGATTTAAGATAAAAGTGCTAAGTATCTCTGATTGCAAATTAAGAAATAATGAGCATTACGAATTGATTATAATAAGTAAGATTTTAACTCATGTCACTAGAAATGTACTTAATATTCATTTTACTCTAAAATAAATACTGTGCATGTGTGTGTGTGTGTATTTATTATCTTTGCAAACTTTGCTTACAGGTTCTTCATTTTAACAAAGAGGAGAAGTCTGTTGTTTCCCCTCAGTCATCGAATCCCTCTCGTGGGAGACCCAGGAAAAGGAAAATGGTATGTATTAGAACAGAGGTGGGCAAAATCCGGCCTGGCAACTGATTGTATCTGGCCTGTGGGTCAGCAGCCACAAAGTCATAGGATCCAGCTTGTAGGGAGCCAGCAGTTCTAGCTGCTGCATCGTGCTGGGCAGGCAGCCCCATCCTGGCCCCATCCACAGCTTACACTAGCTACCACCTCATGTGCCAAAAGCAGCGCCGGTTGCATCCTGACATCAGGTGTGGACACTGTCTGCAGATTCCTGGTGGGGATTGGGCAACTGCCTGGGATCGTAGCTGATGTGCTGATGCAGCAGCATCACCTGCAGACCTGAGAGGATGCCCCAATCTCCAGGGGGAAGCTGCCGCCTCTGTCTGCAGCTGATTCTTGTTCCCACTCAGCACTGTTTCCAGTGCATGGGCCAGGAGCTGGTGTAAGCTGCAGGACCATGCTGGATGTGGGGGGCAGTTGGAAGAGAAAGGGGAGACAGAGAGAAAGAGGTGGCACTATCCATGATGAGCAGCAGCGGCTAGTGCTGGGTGCTAGGCAATAGCTGGACTTGGCAGCGGATGTGCTTGCTGCTACCAGGGCTGTTCTGGCTGGGTTGTCTAGAGCCTGTTCTGGGGCTGCCCTGCAGCTCCTTCCTCCCACCCCCACTCTATGATCTCTTTCTGTTATAAAATAATAATAAAAAACATTAAAATATAATAAATAATACTTAATTACAAAAAGAGGAAAGAAAAAATGTTTTAAAATATGTGTATTAAATTATTACATTAATGAAAGTACTGAAATTACAATATAATTGACATATGATATGACATATGATTGACAATGTCAATTACACCTTAAATATGTCAGTCAATGAAACTAAACAACTGTTGCTGATTTGCACAGATCAGCATTGTATGAGCTATAGGTGACCCCTACAGTAATTTAGTAATAAGAGGTCAGTGGGGTTGAATTGTTATGTGGCGCCCCCTAACTTATTTAACTTTGAATAGTGCATGGAGCAGTTTTGGAGATTTTTGACCTGTCACGTGTACACACTGACGGCATAAATTGACATCCAGCATGTCAATTTAAGGAATACAGATTGAGACAACATGGAACCCCCCTCCCGCCCAGTCATATGTACAAGTGCCCTTAGATGTTACAAGGAATTAAAGAAGGTACAACATTTTCAGGTGCAAACATAATTTCCAAGTGTCTTCTTTAAAGGAACCTGAACAGGATGAAACTCGAGAAATCCATGTGGGTTTTAAGACACTGTTATCTGCAATCAACAAACCTAACAAAAACTATGAGCTTAAAACTGCCAACAGATTGTATGAAGAAAAGACTTTTCCCCTGATTCAGGTAAGTTATGGGGCATTACTAAGCTGAAGAGAAAGTTCTGAAAAATGCTTTTGGTATTAACTCTTTATATTTTGCTGAGATGGTCAAAATGTTTCCAGTTGAAACCTTTTATTACAGTAGTGTTAAAATGTTTTCTTTCTTCTTTATAATTCTGACTGTTGTATTGTAGTGAAGCCTACATTGTAAAGCAGCAAGCAGCATAAAGTTCCACATTATCAATAAGTTCATTTTCATAATTCATTCAAAATAGCCAGATTTTTCATTCCATAGTACACATCAAAATTTTGACTTCTTGGTTCTAATTTGTGATTAAAAGAAATTTTGAAATGACAGAATTTCCCATAGAATGCAAAATTTATTGTGTAGATGACCTTACTGTTAGGGCAGATATTTTTTTAAAACACTGCTTTTAATATAAATTGAATTGTGCTTCCTTTAATAATGTAATATTGTTATATTATACAATAATCCAATTTCATCAGCAACATCAACGTGAATTTATTGTAGTACCTATTTTAAATGGAAAAACAACATTTTTCCTGTTCTGATTTTCAGAGGTACTTACAGCTTGCTAAGAAATTTTACTGTGCAGAGCCACAAGCAGTTAACTTTAGGACGGCTGCTGAACAAGCCAGAAAAGAGATCAATTCCTGGGTCACAAACCAAACTGAGGGTAAGCTAAGGGGCAAATCCAAAACCTCTTCTTTCTGCCACCACAATCTGCTATGCCCTGTGATGGATAGCTTCATTTCTCATATATACAAATACCCTAGTAGCTAATATGGAAATAGCAGAGGGAGAGGTAGCGGGCAGGCAGATAGGCAATTGAACAGCTTCAAGTACTTTATCAAAGAACTTACTGAATACAGTGGAAAGACTCCCATAGATAGGCATGAGCCATGGGGAGAAGTGCTAGAAGACAGCAGCATAGCCCTCTAACCTTGACTTCCAACCCTGCAAGGTTCCTTTCTTCATAGGCCCCAGTCAACCACAGAACTACAAGCACAGGATTTTACCCCAAGAACTCTCCATTTTGCTGTCCTAATTCCTAGCAGACTTGTTCACTTGTGTTATGAGTTGCTCCAGATCAAAGGGCTGTAGAAGCAGGAAGAAAATTATGCCGTTCTGGTTTGGTTGACATTTATACCTACTTTCAACAGATATGACTGGCTTTTACAAGGGAAAGGCAGTGAAGTATCAGGCATCAAGTGTTATGTTTCGAGGCTCTTTTTATGAACCTTTCACACTGTAACTCCTCTCCAACATGTCCTTGAGTAACAAAATTTTTAAAAAAGAAAGAGAAAGAGAAAAAATTAATTAGAGATTTTTTTTAAGGGAAAATGAAATAGGCCTGAAAAATCACTTAGTGAGAACAGATGCCTGTAGATGTTCATGACTCCTGTTCTGATGTGCTGTAATTACAGTGTGTTGGAGCAGCCTCGATTGATTAAATGATAAATTTAATTGAAGGATGAACCCATCTTCCTACCCTAGAATAACACATTTTCTAGAGGTTGGGGCCCTCCTCTGGGAGGTAGGAAACATGGACTAGACTTCCCAGAAGCAGAGTAGGGAATTTAAGTCAGGACTTGCACATTAAACTTCCACTGAACTATTTCTCAGTATTTCTTAAGAACTGAAATGTAAATTAACTTCCTGAGAAGTAAAAGTAACTCTCCTCTCTCTCTTGCTGCATAACAGAATGTATCAGTTGTCTGCCCTATCATGTAGGGATTAATTAAGAAGAGGTTTCAATCAAAGCTAACAGAACTATACAGATATTTACGCTACCTTAGATCCCATGAGAGAGAAGAGTTAACTTGTGTTTTCAGTCACATTCAGGGAATTTAAGCTAATTAGCATGCTCTAGCAGCCTTGGCATTCATGTATTCAGCATCCCCGTGCTTCAAAGTGGTGGTGGGGGCAGTTTAACTAAAGCTGATTAAACAAGCTTTAGTTAATGCACCCCCACTGCCATTTTGAAATGTGGGACACAATACATGAGACACTGCAGGCACTTTAATTAGAGCAGCTCCTGAGAGCTGCTCTAATTAAAGTGCCCCTGCCCCCTGTTAGCAATAAAAACCTAGGATTCCGGACTAGCCCAGGGATTGACACAACACCTTGTTCGATGAGTAACAGAAAGGCTTTCTTTACTACAAGTATTTAAAATCAAGTCAAGCAAGCCCAAACCAAATCAAAGTCCGGTAATTAGCTATAAGGTGATGATTTCTCACCAAACAGGCGACAAAGAGGTGGTCTGTTTCTCTTCAACTTCTCGAGTAAGTCAGGCAAATCAGCAACTGGTGTCAAAGAGATTTCTCACTCTTGAAGCATGTGCACGCTGTTTGCTGTTTTACTGCCTTTTTATACCCTTAGTTTAGCATCTTCAAAACATTCTTTTAGTTGTGTAAATCAAGAAAGAATCCCAAGCAGTAATTGACAGGAAAAACCTGCTCATTACTGGTTATCAGAAATGTTTAATTTGAATGAGTTACTTTCTTCAGTAACAAGAGGTTATCCAGTTTGAAACATATCAAGAAACTGATTAATAGCCAAGAAAAACATACTAAATCATGAGGAGACATCTATTACATATGGAGAATGTCTCTTCCTGCACATAAACGCTAGTTAGTCGCAAAAGAAATATTTACCATACTAATTAATCAAGGATAGACATTTCATATGGTTACACACCAGACAACTAAGAGTCTGCTTGAAATCATTCTGAATATAGCAAGATAAGCTGGAAGAGATACTTCATTATTCCTTCTTAGATGGCCTAGCCATGAACTCGCATCCTCTTGCAATATGCAGTTAGCATTATTATTCTGTATTTTAACTTTTGTGAGTAGGCCCAAGCTTAGCATAAGTTTCAGAGTCATCACCCCCCCCCACCCCCCCGCCCCAGCACATGTAAAGACACAGTAGGGTTTTGAGGCTCAGACACTGGATAACTACTTGGGCAAAAAAGAAACAACTTTATAACAAGTCACTTGCAGTATCATATTGGAATAAAAACCTCAATTTTTCTGATATCTGAAAGGGACAATCCAGGATCTGCTGCCTACAGGATCTGTTGACTCACGGACTGCATTGGTCCTGGTAAATGCCATTTATTTCAAGGGAAAATGGGAAAAGCAGTTTATAAAGGAAAACACATTTGAAAGACCCTTCAGGGTTAGCAAGGTATGTTTCCCGAAATTCCTTGTTAACTAACTGTAGGAAACATCCAAAGAGCATAGTAGTCGTTCACCTGCACTCTGTGTGTATTTACAACTGTATGGGCATGTCTACACGTGGCCATATGGTGCCTTTATTACTGTGCTGTCATTTATTACTTCCTTTTGGAAGTACTAAAAGATGGTGCAGTAACAGCCTATACTGCACGGTGCCAGCTGCACACTGTTATTTTTGGCTGCTGTCACTGCAGCAACATGCTATGTGGGAGGACATTGCTACGGCGACATAGCAGCAGCATCATGGTTTTGCCAATGGACGCTGCAGCACCATAGCGCCTTGTGTAGATGGACCATTTGCATTTAAAACTACTGGTAGTGTCTAAGTAATTTGGGGTGACAACTTTATTACTAATTCCATCAGCCGCATATGTTAGGTCAGTGTTTGAAACGTGTGTTTGGCCTTCAAGGAGTGGCTGCTGGGTACCAGAAAACTAGGCAATTTTAATGAACACACTGTGACACTTACTGGATGACAGAGATGTGAGCAAATCTTGGCTACATTTCCAGAGAGGATGTAAAAGGCTATGTAAGAGTCAAAGTCAATGGCATTGTATCATTTCCGCTGACTTGACAGCTTTGTCTTGACTTTCCCTTTAAGAATTTGTGTTCCTTCATTTATGTTCCCCTGGAACTCAGTGGTTACAAACAAAAAGTGAAATAGAAGAGAATATCGTGAAAACCATGTAAATTTCTTAACACCCCTTGAAAAGCGTTGTTTTGTAACCGAGCAACTTTTCAAACACTGAAAAGATATCTCCCTTTCTGCCAGGGTGGGGAAGGGAACCAAAGGAAACCCTCCTCTCAGTGACCTCTGACTCCTTGTGCCTAGGAGTTCCCTACAATCTCAGTGTCAAAGTGCTGTAGCATGGTACAATGAGGTGAACCAAATGTCATGGTACAATGAGGTGAACCTTACAAGTCAGCCTTGGTGATAATGCAAAAATTTAGTACTTATTTCCTTATTTATATATATTTGACAGACCAAGACTAAACCAGTACAGATGATGTTTTTGAAAGATATGTTTAAAATACTTTGCATGGACACAATGAAACTCAAAATCATCGAGCTCCCATATATCAAAAATGAACTCAGCATGTTCATCCTCCTACCAGATGACATCAGTGATAGTGCTACTGGTCTGGAACTGGTAAGACCATTATACCATAGTTCTGATGAATTAAAATGGAACTTAATATTTCTTCATTGCAGGGAAATGCTCATAGTTTGGCAATATTTTCTATATCAGTGCATGCAGTTGTTGTTGCTTTTATAGCATGTAGGAGCCTTCTAGAGCACAGGCTGAAAACGGTTAAATAAAGCTGACCTATTCTGCTGACAGTATTAGCAACGGTACAACAGAAGTGGTATGATTGGTATCATGTATTGTTAGTGATACAATGGCTATGACTGAAAGGTATTTTCCAGATTAAATGGAAACAATAGCCTTACATCCAAAAGAGCTTATAATTTAATTTCAGTTGTGATACAAAGAAAGAGATGAACAAAAAATTGGGGGTGAAGGACAGGACAAAGTTTGCAGCAAAAGGATGTCACTTTGATAGGTACACATCTTATGTATGTTAGGACAAGAGATATGGGTCCCTTCCATGCATATAGATTATTGTTAATTATTAATATTATTATTAATATTACATGAACTCAGATATTTCTTTATTTGTGAAAAATATCAAAGATAAGGAATGGCTCTGTGGATGCAGTTCTTCAAGAAGCAAAGTAACCTCACCTCCTATTGAAGAAAATGAGAGCAAAAGTCACTCAGGAACTTGCACTTTAACTTAAGTTTTCTAATAAACTTTTTCTTGATTCACTGTAGCTAGAAAGAGAATTGACCTATGAGAAGTTAGCTGAATGGACCAGCCCAGACAGAATGGCAAAAGTGGAAGTGGAAATGTATCTGCCCAGGATCCAGCTGGAAGAGGGATATGACCTCAAATTGACTCTGAGCAGTATGGGGATGCCAGACGCCTTTAGCCCAGGTCAGGCAGATTTCACGGGGCTGTCTGTCAAAAAGGATCTGTTTTTGTCAAAAATTTTTCACAAGTCTTTTGTTGAGGTCAATGAAGAAGGTACTGAGGCAGCAGCTGCCACTGGAATTGTTATAGCAGAGAGAGCACATCTAAAGGCTATAAAATTTAAGGCAGATCACCCTTTCCTTTTCTTCATCAGGCATAACAAAACCAAGAGCATCCTCTTCTTTGGAAAATTTTGCTCCCCCTAGAAGGTATTACTTTCTGCTAACAAAAAGCATCAGAAGTTCGCTCTGCAGCTGGAAAATATCTGGCTCTCCAACCCCTGCCTTGATTGTAATCTTACTCATAGCCCTGCTCAGCCACCTTCTTTAGTTCCAACATGGGCAACCTCAGGAACAACTATGCCTTA